AGTTTCAAATGTTTCGTTCGGCGCAACGCAATAAAAGCGGACTAAGAGCTCTTAGCTAAATCCGATGGATTTACAGTCGTTTGTAAAACGTTAACGCTAAGAAGTCTTGGCTATGACTTGGGTCCTAAAGCGTTTTAGCTAAGCGCTCTTAGCCGAGAGCTCTTGAGAAAATCTGGATTTACATTACATTTGTAAAACGTTTTAACGCTAAAACGTTTTAGCCAAGACGTCTTAGGGCTCAAGTGTAAATCTAACAAATGTAGGGCATTAATCGTAAATCTGGGAAAAGGGAAAAGCACTCTCCAAATTTTAAGTATTCAAACAACGTTATCGAAATTGGTAACATGCAACAGAGAAAAAACTTAAATCTTCAAAGCAAAGGTTTTAAATACAATACCTGCAACAAGGGGGTAAACAGAATTTTCTCACCCTTCTAGGAAGGGAGGCTATGGCCCCTAACTAGGGTGACATAGCCATGTCTCCAAAAAGCTAATGGTAGGGAAAAGGAGGATCTAGACTAAAAAAAGAAATCCACTGCTGCAAACTACCTAATTATTGTGGCATCAAAAATCTGAAAAAATCACGTGATAACATGACTGGAATGAAAAGTCACAGAATTACAGCTCCAGGAATTTCCCTTTCTGCGTTTGCCAGGTAAGAAGCAAATAATTTGTCCTAGAATTTTGACTCTTAATGACATATCACACGGGTACCTGGGCCTTTCTGTATGTGTATTTATTTATCCATATATTGATTTCGTAATTTATGAAGAAATATTTCCAAATAAAATTTGCTATGCAGCTTTGATTACATTCTAAATACAGTATTATGTTTTTGTTGATTTTTTTAGTTTTTATGGTTTCTTTATTTTACTTTACAATATGATCAACAAATGACAGGGCCGAGGCTGAATTCAGCATTATTGGCCCTGTTAATACATAGTTTATTCAAATTTACAAAATAGCGACAAAAATGACTACAAACGTCACGGAACTATTTTTTCGAAATTAACTTTTGATATGATTTGCAACTGCGATCCTCAGAGAGACGTCTCTCGGCATGGGGGCTGGATTATTGAATTGGAAATGACATCTTCCTCCTGGAATGTTTTCATTCTGTTTTTGATTGAAAGGCCAGATTTGCTCAATATATTTTCAATACCAACTCCGAGATATGAATCAACAATTAAGCAGATAGAGGAAATGAATTTAGCTTTGTATCCAGGGAAAGCTTAAAAGGCAAGAATTTGACGATAACAAGCACAAAACAGACATAATAGTTACCATCTTGCAAATTGGATGTTTGTTAAGCGGTGTCAATCTCGATTTTCTTTCAACCCGCCTAGCAGCGGGACGAAACAACCTGAACACACAGATTAGTTGAGTAAACGAAAACTTTTAAGTCTTGATCTTGGGGTTACAATTTACGATATGAAAGGTGAGATTTTCGGCTTAAAGCATCTGACCTGCTTACGGAGGTTCACTTATAAGAAGTGTACGATTCGGAATTTTTTTTCAGAAACATATTCTTTAAAGTCAATTCATATCTTGTAAGTGATATTAAATAAAATAGTTTGCAATATGTGAAAAGTATTTAAGCCCAGGACTCATTGCATTGTGGAAGGATCATTCCTTCCAGGTGTTTTTTCCTAAAACTAACACTCGATGCTGGCGCATCTCGTGCACATTTTGGAAAGCAACACCTTCAAGGAATGGTCATTCCACATTGCGCATAGTCCAGGGCTTAAATCCTTAAACCGAATTGTAACCATTCATTATTACTAATTAGCGGGCTGATAAGAACCAGTAAGTGTGCATCAGCCAGTAATATAGAAGGTGAATATAATCCTCGGGGAAATTGTTCCTGTCACCCCAGCTGACATAACTTAAGTGAAATACTCCCCTTCCATTTTGTTTGCTGTTCTGCAAAATAAGGTAACACACGTTCCAATTCGAATTGATGAGAAAAATATAACGAACCCAATACTGCTCACACATTATTCCTTTGATCGACTCTAAGCTGATTAGTTTGATTAAATAATTATGTCTTAAGGTTGAAAGGAAATCAAGCCGTCAATTATTACAAGCAGTCCGTGGTAAAACTGAGAATGAATTTCATCGAATCCAACTCTTAGATAAGAAACACGAAAACAAGGAAGTTCCACTCAAGAGGTAGGGCTATATTAGCTGATAAATATTCACTTAAGTGGAAAGGAGTATATATAATGGTAATGCTAATAATGACCGTGTATATGTAACGGTAATATAAGGTGAGTCGTGTATATAGTTTTATAATGGTAATATTTAGGCGAGCCATGTTTATATAATGTTAATGTATAGTGGATGAGCCGTGTATATATTTAGTGTCGATCTTTAATTCTAATGAGCACTGATTTCTTGTATGAGTTTTGCTACTTGTAAAAATTTTTTGTTTAATATAACGTGGATTATATGCCCCTTGGGGTGTCTTCCACTATTGTGATTGTATTTGTATTATTTGGAATTTAGGAAATAAATAAAACAAACAAACAAACAAACATATACAGGATGGGCCAAAAAACAATAAAATGATATATAATACATGGCATGGTTTAAGATATATCATTAGAAACATCCATCTTTAAACTTTGGTATTGATTTTTGGCCCATCCTGTATAATAGTAATGTTGAGGTGAGTCGTGTATAGTAATGCTTAGGTGAGCCGTGTAAATATAATGGTAATGTTAAGGTTGGCCGTGTATATATAATTTCAATGTTAAGTCGAGTCGTGTAAATATAATGGTAATGTTAAGGTTGGCCGTGTATAATTTCAATGTAAAGTCAAGTCATGTAAATAAAATGGTAATGTTAAGGTTGGCCGTGTATATATAATTTCAATGTTCAGTCGGGTCGTGTAAATATAATCTATGGTAATGTTAAGGTTAGCCGTGTATATATAATTTTAATGTTAAGTCGAGTCGTGTAAATATAATGGTAATGTTAAGGATGGCCGTGTATATATAATTTCAATGTTAAGTCGAGTCGTGTAAATATAAGGGTAATGTTAAGGTTGACCGTGTATATATAATGTACATGGTGTCCCGAAAGTATGGGGCCCCCCTAGGCAGACATATACCAGTGTTGCTATAGTATGTGTAATATATCATTTTAAAGCTTATCTAAAGTTACATTGATTTGCCAGGTATCATGGTTTAACTCCCAAATGGGAAAAAGTTACAGGCATTTCAAAATTTAGTGTTTGGTCAAAATTAAGTTCAATTTTACACCAAATCACTAGTCAATGTGTACTCCCGGGCCATCTTAGCAGCAGCAATTCTTTTCGGGTCGGAGGGATATTGAGTTGGAAAAAGAGAACGGTGAGGGTAGAAACTCTAAGGAAACTCTTCTAAAGTCCCTTAACAGGTTTTAAGAGAGTTATAAAATTCCACACCCCTATTTGAAGGGCTTTTAAGGTCATATCTGAAAATAATTGCTGCTGTTAACATGGCCAAGGGGGGACACATTGACTAGTAATGTGGTGTAAAATTGAACTTTATTTTGACAAAACACTGACTTTTAAAATGACTGTAACTTTTTCCCATTTGGGAGTTAAATCATGATACTTGGCAAATCAATGTAACTTTGGATAAGCTTCAAAATGATATATGACACATACTATGAGAACACTTGAATATGTCTGCCTAGGGGGGCCCCATACTTTCGGGACACCCTGTATATATACGACTCGACTTAACATTTAAATTATATATACACGGCTAACCTTAAAATTACCATTATATTTACACGACTCGACTGAACATTGAAATTATATATACACGGTCAACCTTAATATTATACATAATGGTAATGTTAAGATGGTGATCCGTGTAAATAAAATGGTAATGTTAAGTTGAGTCGTGTATATATGATGGTAATGTTAAGATGGTGATCCGTGTATATAATATATTTGTACTGATGCCCTTGGCCAAACGGACATCCATTGATCATACTTTTCAATTATAGTAGAAGTAGTAATAACGTAAAGAAAAAAACTACATTCTTCAGATGACATACGTAATGCTACTTATATATTGTATATATAATGGTGATGTTGCGGCGAGCCGTGTAAATATAATGATTATGTTAAGAAGATCTGTTTATACGTACTATGATGTATAATGATAGTATTGAGGTCAGGTGTATATAAGTTATTGTAAAGTTAAAGTTGAGCAGTGTAAATATAATATAATATATTTTTTAGGTTATCGTTATTTATTTCCATATTATTTAGTACAATTATTTACATAGATTGTGAGGGGCCGAGGCTATATAGCATTATTGCCCCCCCCCCTCTAGAAAGAGAAAAACATAGTATACTGTATATAATATAATATGATATAATATAATATTATATAATATAATGCAATATATAATATAATCAATATAAAATTAAGAACAACTGAACAACTGAAAAGTATGATTAATATAACTTATCGTTTCAAAACCAAGCTTTCTCCAAATAACACATTATTACTTTACATTTTAATATAGAAAAACAGATTCACCTTCCCTTAACATCCAACTGCAGTTGTACTCATATTCAAATTGCTTTAACGTTATTGCAATTGGTTATTTCAATCGGGTTGCGCTATTTGGTTGAGAGATGGGGCTACATGGATCATTTGAAATTGATTCCGCGAGTTTTCAATACGCCAGTTGCAACTGTTTCTCTCGCTCCGAGCGGTCAGATGTAGATTTAGAGTTCGAACCAAAAGCAAGAAGTATAAATAAGTGAACCAAGATTTATAAATAAATGAACTTTGATAGTGATACATACAATTGTGCTATTTTAAGCTGGTAAACACAGCGCCGTAGAATGTAGAATGGAACTAGCGGATCGTGCTATTGCTGAAATAACCGAGACCCTGATAGACCAGACCTTGTCGATATATCACGCCGGATTAGACTGACATTGTATTAGTATCTGGTAGGGATGCAAGCCTGGCGTTTCATCACCTGTATTGCAGAATAAAGCCTCACAGAAAAGAAACTGTTAGATTCCACGTAGAATGAAAAGGATTAGATAATTAATTAAACTCGAGAGTCAAACGATTGGAGCGTTGCAGAATAAAACAATTAGATTCTACGGCTATACGATTTTAAGATTTAAAAAACAGATTCGCCTGTGTTCTTTGGAATCGATATATATAAGAGTAGTTGACTAAATGCGGGTTTTTAATCACAATGGAATCTTATTTATCACAATGGATTTTATAACATTTATGCGAGCGTGACGGGTAAGTACAATAGTATATGCACTATTTATAGTATGTACAATATTTATAGTATGTACAATATTTACAATTGTATGTCATAATATCTTTCAATGTATATCAATGAGGCAAGAATAGATATGAGACACGTTGATGATTTTGAAATATTTTTACTCTGATCGTTCTATGTTAGCTTGTTTAACATTTCCAAATTTCAGGATGATAAAGTGTATCTGGACAAAAAAGTGAACGTTCTTTTGCCAGTCTAATGAATTTGGACATTTTCACGTGTCAAAACTTGAATAATGTCTATATTCGACCAAATGTCTTTTTAATCTTTTTGAAAATAAAATTTGGGTTTTCTAGTCATCTGATAAATTAGTTATCTATAATCACCTGCATAGGAATTTAAATGTAATTAACACATTAACAAACAAGCACCGTGTTAAATATACAAATGTGTAAATAACGCTTATTCATTGCAAATATCAAGTTGAAATTCCCGATTCCGATTTGTCGATGGTCGTCAGTATCAATTCTGATCTATCAGAGTCTCACTGTATCTAACGCGTTGGTGAGCGTATTCAAAAGGATGGTACTTGCTGTGGGTCCCGTAATGGTCAGTATCCTTCTGAATTGACATTTTGCGTGTTCGGCATTGTGCAGCATCATATCTCTGTGATGCATACTAGATATACATGTAGGAGTTTGATTTGGAGTTTTCAACGGGAGAACAGACGCCGCGAAATAAAAAAAACGAAACGCACGTGGCAAAAACGAAATTTAGGAATACCCGCATATTCCGGGCACCCTGGGATTTAAGTTTTTAAAATCTACTATTCTAGGAATACATGGCAAATCGGTTTGACACTATCGACATTTTCGCAAAATTTGAATAACTGGCAAACTTGAGTAATTGACAAATCTGAATAATGGCAAACCTAAATAACTGGTAGCGCTGCCCTATTCCTAGACGACCGTAATTCACGTTCATGTACAAGTTTTCTTAAACCTCCCCTACCGAACGCCTCTTACAATACAATACGCCGTCCTTTAAACGAACATATAATATATATAAGGGTTACGTACTGGGAGGTTTTGGATACAGGGAATATCCCGAGGGATATCCAATATATCTTCCCGAGGGACCGAAGGGACCGAGGGAAGATGTATTGTATATCCCAAGGGATATTCCATGTATCCAAACCGACCGTGCATACCTGGTTTATCTCATACTTTTTAAAACTTTTTTAAACTTTTCTAAACTTTTGAAAAATTCCCGGGAGCGGGATGGATATATTATATCTGCCCGCATTTGACCTGGAGCGGGACATATACAATATATCCTGCCCGCTCCTCAGATATGATATATATTCCCGAGTGATATCTACCCCAAACCCACTCAAGTATGAGATACACGAATTTATATCAATTTATATCATACCTGACATCCGTATTAATCTAACCTTGCCATTAGCCTAACTCTGCCTATTAACGGTTAATAACTAGAACTTTGCTCATATTCACCATAAAGTCCGTCATATCTCGGAAGCACGACTTAATTATATATGTCCCTAAAAGGGTTCAATGTCATCATACACATTTATGAGGGAGTAACAGGATACTTATATTCTATCATCGAGAAACGAGCATAAATCAAAGAATAAACTTGTACACGCGACATAAAAACAAACGTACTCACAACATTAAACATGCGTACGCGCGACCTAAAATGTCACCACCTGCCATTTGTTACTAACGCCGAACACCGTGCACAAAAGTTGGAGACTACAACAGTATGTCATCACATCATGGTGACATGAAAGCTAAAAACCACAACGAGGCTCGGTACAACGAGAACATCATTCGATCATATCGGATATGAGTGTCAATAAAGAAGGGGAAATTGTTATAAAAACTGTCATTTATAGACCCGAATATGATATATTTCATCATTTTGATGTTAAACGGATGAATCAAAGTAACGTTTGATACATCCGAACACCCAAGGTTTGAGATAATACATTAATTTACACATTTCTGCTTATTTGTCATGCTCATCTTTTTGTGGATGAAATGCCCAATAGGGTGCCTTCTGTATTTTCAGCAGATGTTTAAGAATAGATAAATGAAATAGAATTTTCCCTATGTCTATCAAAACTAATTATGCTCTTATTTGATGCATGATTTAAACACAATTGATAAACTCTCTAACCGTTAACGATCTTTCATTGACCTACAGGAGGTCGGCGTAAAAATTCAATTCAGTTTTTCAATTCAAAATTCCATCATACAATATTTCATTAAAGGACACCCCGAGGGTCGTAGATTAAATACCATGATAGTTGGTACCATGACGCTAGGAAGACAATTTTAATTACTTTCCAAAGCCTAAGGGGATGATAGAAAAGTGCTTGGCAGGATAACACAAAATTATATTCTGCAACTGTAAATATATCACAATTCATCGGTTCAAGAAAATTGAAATTCCCATTCGGATATTTGGCAAAGCACATTGGCGATTGATGTGAAATATCTCAAAGGGAAAAACAACCAAGTGTTAATATCTTTAGTTGTATCAAATAATGCCCTGTTTAACTTCGGATTTCTTTCTCACTAGCCATTGCCTTGGTTACGAATTATAGTTTCTATGCACGGTTACCTATCAGAATGGAGCAAATTATTAATATGAGTAAATATTATTAAATATTATTAATTTGTTCCGAATTGGTTTGGAGAACATGTTGGCCTCGAAACGGCATGTGTCATCCACTGGCAATTTAGCACTCGGTTCTGCAAAATATATATGGTTAAACTAATAACTGCAATGCTCTCTACTTGCGATGATCTGATAGACCCTTGAATAAACGTTGAAATTCTAATATTTGTTTATGGTTGCAAGATCTGGAAACACAATGGAATCAATGCATTTAATACAAAATGCAGACGATGCTCTTGAATGTAATGTAATATTTCCGGAATGGTATTTGTACTCGAAAATAAGATTAAATCTATGTTGTGAATATGATTTTTTTCGATTGGGGTTTCTTGTCGTCCATGATTGACCTGTGAAACTTGACGCTATTTATCGGTCGGAAATATTCCCTATAAGAGTACATTCGATTAACTAGTATATCATTCTGTATGGAATAAGATGATTTGATTAACTAAGTTAACCGTTCGGAAAATAAATGAATCCATAGCCAGCCGTTCACAAGATTATGTTCTCTATGTAATGAGAAACGCTGTGTGATTTTCATATCTCGGACTGTTTAATCACAAGATCAAACGTATCACCCAAAAGATTTTATGCTAATTCCCGTTCATCATGTTTAACGTTCGTTTAATAAGGGTATTGAATGCATCTTACGCTCGTTTAGGGCAGAAGGTTGCCCCGAGAGGGTTGCCCACGTTCGGTAGAACACCTTTCTAAAGGTCACGTGGTATCTCAAGTGATTTTGAAAATTGAGAGCCGCCACTGAATGCCAATAGATGTCACTGAAAGTCGAACATAGAACTCCCCCATGGCAGGGGCGTCATGTGACGTGGTTTTGTTTGATGGGAGGTTCTTTAAGCTAAGTTCACACCAACGGCGCTTTGATAGCGCTTTAAAGGGGCTTTGCACGGCGCTTTAAAGCGCCATCAAAACACCGTGCATTATAATTTTCAGTCCTAGAGCCTTGAATCTGTTTTGCTATATGCATGTCTTCCCGCATATCTTTCAACGTAGTTTTCACTGAGAATGTGTAACAAAATGCAGGTGTTACTATCAATCAGGCCACCCAGTAAGTCTTTTACATATAATTTATAATACAGCGTTGCTCATATATATGGAAACGTACTTAAAAAATCAGAACATTTTTTAAATAAGACGAAATAATCAAGTCTACAAAATAGAGAGTGTCCATCACGCAAAGAAAGTAATGATTAGAAATCAGATGAAAGAAATAAATTATCAAAAACATTAAAAAAACTGTTAATGTTATACGCAACAAGACCAGTATGTGAAAAAACAGAAAAATCTCTTCTAGAGTAGAGATATTAAAAACTACTGAAGTCGTGAACATCACTTGTAAATTAATAAACATTACATTGGTGGATCCAAGGGGCATAACTTGGCCTTTTGGGCCTTTTTAGGCAAAGTTATCAAAAATGGGCCTTAAATTTTCATAATGTAGACTATAAACCAAAATGAACGTCCATCAACCTTGAATAAAATAAAAAGAATCATGCATGTAAAATGAAGAACAATGTTCACGATTAACTGAAGTCCATGAAGACAAATGTCTCAGTTCAATAAATATTGTCCAATGTGTCGTTTGTCTTCTGTTCAATTCTAAATGTGCATCCTATCATGGCTTTTAATATAAATCATCGTTTTCTCATTGATTTAAGCAGCTGCAATCAGAATAGTGTCATAACTTAATATTTTTTGTTACATATTCATTAAATATTGTATGATTGATAAGCCCGATGTCTCAAATGAAACTCATCTTGAATAATGTCTTTTAGTTTATTGACGTATCAATAATCTTTTTTTATATTTACAGGATTCAACAGTCATTCCACGTTATTCCACAATTAGTTAAACCAATCTTCCTCGCTTTGCCGGGATATTTACATTTTGTCTCTCTACCCATCCCTGTGTAGCCCCACTTTCATTTTTACCTTATACCAAGTAGAGTCCTTACATTGCAATGTCCTCGAAGGGATTCCCACTTGCAGAAGCTCCTTTGACTTGCTTTGTCGGAAAATTCAAATTGTCTCTCTGCCCATGTTCCCTTCATACCCGTCCCGGCTCACGATCAGCCCATCGTTTTCCCAACAACAAGTAGAGTGCCAGGCGCTGTCGCCGTAACCATGAGGTCGTGCGTTCGAGACGCGTGAGCTCCTTATGCGTTTATTCATTCTTGTCACAACTACTGAATCATGTCAACGTACCAATATAATTGTAAATCATAATATGAAAAAAACTTATTCGACTTTTGTTTCACTAACTACACCCCCCCCCTCCACAGGTTTTG